TAAGTTGCATCAAGCATATGATGGGATTTTGTACAATCCGGAAGACATTCAAAAGATTTCTAATTTTACTTTATCTTATTCTATCTTAATCCGAATGCGAACGATCAAATGCAGCATTAGTCTTTTAGTAAAAGGTCAGTACACGTGGTAGTATTTAAGAAGGTAGGATTCATCTCATTCTAAATGTGCACAACAAAGATAAATTACACCTAAGGTCTCCCTTTTTTCGATTCCTTAAATTGGGCACTTAATCAATTTCATTCCCTAATAAGGATTGTGATGACAATCGAGGGACTTTCGATAAAGCTCTAGATGTAGCATTCCCAGTGTGAGCCACCTAATGGATCACAGCTAGCTAGCACTAGGCACTAGCACATGGACAAACCTGCAAAAGTGGCGGTGTACTTGGATTTCCCCTAGTTGAATTTCATGGGACATCATGCCAAATATCGTTGAGTACGTAGAGAAAGATTCCATCTCGTGCCCCGGACATTTCACCATTTCATTTCGGGCTTCACTCGGAGAAGAGGAATCCTTGTCCGGACTAGGTCCCCTTGATTGATTTGGTGTTCAATTGAGAGTTAATATCATAGAGAGAGAGGAGCTGAGACTCCAACAGGGGCCTCCGCAACCTGTCTATTTGATATACAGTGAAGGCAGGCTCTGCGGATATTTTCCTCATTTTAACGTGTCGGTTTCCGCACGCCTTGCTCCCCTAATTCCCACTCAATCTGTCTTCCTGGGAGAAAGGGAATACCCTCTTGTTGCTTTACATTTTTGGGATCCCAAAGCCCGGACGAGACTTAAGATAAAGCTTTTTTATGGACATACTTAGGTCCGACATTCCCATTCCCATTGGGAGCCACCTATTGGATCGCAGCAAGCTAGCACTAGGCACCAGCATAGGGACCGACCTACAAATGTGGTGCTGTACGTGAATTTCCCCTAGTTGCATTTCATGTGACATCATGCCAAATTTCCTTGGCTACGTAGAGAAAGATTCCATCTCACACCTCGGACATATCACCATTTCATTTCGGGCAATTGCGTTTGTCTACACTTGGAGAAGAGGAATCCTCGTCTGGACCGGGTCCCCTCGACCTGCTTCTATCCTCGCCTCAATCCGATCTACCGAACTTGAGTCCAGAGAAGAAATCCCCGTGGGAAAAGGAGAAAAGTGGTCCGCGGGAAATTGACAATTGCCATTGCCCTTCGAATCACTTCTCATAGGCTTTTTTGCTTTTCGTACATCAATGACCATGTTTGGTCATTTTTCTGGAGCACATTTCATATTATAGAAGTTGGTTGCATGGAAACTTCTCATATCAGACTCTTTGTTTGGACAATGACAAACAAAGAATCATTTATCTTAGCATGCACGGATGTCGAATGCAGAAGAAACTAAAAAAAAAAACAAAAGAAGGCAAATTATCCCGAAAAACTCCAAGTTATATACTTTTTTTCATAATATTCGACATCCAAATCTATGGGCATTTAATATCAACTTTTTAAGTTTAGCGATTTAGACCATTGAAGAGCAGCTATTTGGTACACTGGGATCATGTAAGCCCATCACATGTCCTCCGACAGATTTGCTGGGTTTGTGGGGCCCACCTCATCCAAATGTGCATATGAGCTTATATGCAATGTGTGGCGAAGGGGTGAGGTTTTGACACGGAGGCTGGCACAACGAGCGGAAGTCGACACCACGCCACATGGGATTACAATGTCGAACACACGGATATAGATAAATATATGGAAAAATTACATCAAAAGTTCTAAACGTTTTGCCCGAAGTGCAATCAATTGGTAAACGTAAAAAAGTAAAATAATATTTCGAATTCAGTGCAATCAAGCTCTTTCGACAACTGCTCATCCAAATTTGCTGACATGGTATGCCGAAATTCTATATGGCATTTGAGCATATGTGGCCTAAGTCAAAGAATAAAAGAAAACGAAAAACCAAAAGAGCCCAAATTTAAACAAATGAATTAAAAAGAAAGAAAAATCATCGAGGGAGAGAGAACGCAACAAGAGTGGCATTTGAGTCATGATCTATAGGTAGCAATGAAAGAATTGATAGGAGCTAGAATCATTTTGACCGATTGTGATCAGTGATCAGGAAGTGCATCGAAATTGTTTTGAGTCCTTGACAATCACTCAGATCACATCAAACTCTTCCTTTAACTATTGATTGATCAGACCATTTTCTTTAGGCAGAAGTTGAAAATTGCCCCCATGTAACCAAAGAGAACCGGTGACTGTCATCGGAAACCAATGAATGGTAGCCTTGTCGGCACGCCATGATCAGTTAGACCCTTGTGACTATCAAGCCATTGGAGGTCGATTTGGTAATGGACAATGATTCATCCTCCGTGTTGAAATATTTTACATTGCTTGACAATATGATATATATGCTCTCATATACATGCGATCTCCCTCCATCCATTAACTTAAACTTTCGGGCCGTATTTTTTAATATTAGATTAAGATTCTGCCACTTTCGCGCACCCCAATTAATCAATTTCCACATGTCACTCCTAATCCTGCTTGCACGTAAGAGAGGGCATTAAAATGTCCCGCATCACTTGTCAATGGGTTTATATGCTCTTTATATACATGCGGTGTCCCTTCACGTGTTAGTTCAAGTTTTTGGGCTGGATTTTCTAACATTCTAACTTTTCCAGGTTGTCGCTTCAGCTTACAACCGTGTCAAACGCATCATCGGCGACATAGGGGCCTAAAGAACATCCGCTCACCCACCAACAGGTGCATAAACTCGTCATCGCACCCCAACCGGCGAGCCGGGAGTGAGCAAGCATCTCCACACGAGGTAGCACAATGCCTGTGACACAAGCCGGTTGGAAGCTTGCTCACGACACAACACGGCAGGCCTCGCTCACCTCGTGCAAAGTTCCAGACCCATCTCTTTCCTTTCCTATCGAGGCACGGCCTAGACCGATGGTGGCTCATGGGCCCAAACTTGGCCTCCAAGCTCATTTTTGGGAACGGGAAGATCCCAACATCACTTTCTGAATTGTCAATTGCCAGATGCAACCGGCACACGGTGTCCAGTTAAGGGCGCCATCTCGAATATTCGCGTGGTCGTGAATCCACCCCCGTAGTCATCCGGACCAGCAAGCAAGCTATCCATCCATCAAAAAGTCCAAAAGTTCTCTAGAATAAAGCAATAGCTTTGGTACCTAACCTTTCGCAACTCCGCTATTGCCCGGATCCTTCCCCAATCATGTTTTGCACATGACGCTTTTTGACAAAATACCAAAGGCGACAGGGCCCTTTTGGAAAAAAAGGCCGCCCCTCTTTCGATCCGTGCTTAATCTATTGCTTGCTTTTCGATCGTTCGTTCTTGTTCCCGTTCCGTGGGCTTTAAGTATTGGAAAATTTCGTGGAGCTCACTGTTGATTCCGAGTTTATCAGGACCAGTGCAGCCATTGGATGTATTAAGATATTCCGTCGCTTTTAGAAGAGCAATACTAAATTTGCCAAGGACGATAAAACTCTCGTCTTTTGTTTTGTGAAAGATGATGGACCTTTTTTGTCGAACGGGTCCCGTTAACGAGTGTCCCTTGTTGTTCTTTTGATTTTTCAAACTATTGATCACGCGTCCTAGGAAAGGGCGAGAATACTTTAACGGTGTCCGCGTATTGAACTTTGTCGGGTTATGAAATAAATTGAATAATATATTAGATGTCTATGGTAACTGCACTTTGGTTGGCTTTTTTAATAATGATTTCACTGTTCGAAAAAGGGTGGCTCATAACACGGCTCGAGTGAGCATTACATCAAGTGATTATTTCTAAGGCAACAACGAAATCATCTTAATTTTGAGGCGTGCATAACACGGCTAGAGTGAGCATTAGATCAAGTTTAATCGTAGAACCGGACTAAATAGGCTTGGACCAACCGGTTGAGTTCCCGAATTGAATTGGTTTTATAGCTTCTATTAGGAAAAAAAGAGTACTTTTGCATTATACAAGATAATACAAAAAAAAAAAGTGGGCCGATTCCCGTGTAGAACATGAACCGTTTAAGGAACCCGTGGTCTTGCCGGTTCCAGAATAGATCACTTCGATCCATCTGGGAACCGATCAATTCTCAAACTTGACAATGCTTTTAAATGACAAATTTATAATCACAAGCAAAGGAGGAAAATTTAGTGAAAAGCAGAGCAAATCCATGGAGTTATACAAGGGTAACAAACAGGGAAAAATGGGAAATACCAAGCAGGTGGCAGCAGGCGAAAAAAATCCACAGTGGGTCAAGGTCAAGAATGTTGATGCCAAATCGCAAATTTCTCTGCTAACGTCATATCCGATTAGAGTGGCGGCGAGCTGATTCGAAGCTTCGTCACCGAGCCCGACACAACCATCTCGTTCGCATATAAATCAAGCTCAAGACGAGCTTCGTTCAGCTCGCACCAACAAACCGTGGAGCTTCCCCCGCCTTGTCTGTCTTCTCCGAAAAATTTCAAGGCACTGCAGCTCCCGCAGCTATAGTTAGGTACGTGTTTTGATCGCGATCGGAGTCGCATTCGCCGCCTCTGATCGATCACATCCGCCAGATGTTTTCAAATTTGTTCTCACCTTTCGTTTTCATGTCAGTGTTTTCTTGTTTCCACCCTCCTTCGTCTGGGAGGGCGTGGCAGCTGTTTGAATAATGGGGTCGCGTTGATTAACGATCAGGGTCAAACCGTGCATGGGGTGGTGTGTTTTCGAAATTTTGTAGTCTTGTGGAGGTGGGCGATGGCGTGGAAACTTCAAACCGGGATATAAAAAAAGGGTTAGAAATTGTCGGACAAGTTATGTAGGCAGCTTACTTTGTTGAACAATCTCCTTCTCTTTTGAGCCGGTTTGTTTTGTTGCACGCGAAAGTCGTGCCCGGAGCAGCTTCTCTTCGTCTTCCGGTCGTCGCTGTGTTTGGTCAGCGTGCATAAATCTGGTTCAACGCCTGACGAATATATGTATATATATAGAAACTGAATTGGTTTTCTTCATATTTCTATCCTGTTCCAATTTCTTGAAAGTTCGATCGAAAGAGGGTTGCTCTGTTTCTGATCTTCTGGTGTTTGGGATCTTGAGACTTGGGTTTGCTTGCTTTTTTGTTCATAGAGCGGATTAGAGGAGGATTTCGTGATTTTGTGTTGAGATCAGTTAGAATTGGTGCAGAGTTTCTCGGGTTTGATTGATGGGGGCTAAGCTTTCCACAGAGGATAGTTGGGGAGAGAATTCGAATTCACCGCACCGTTCGACTTCTTCTCCTTTGGATTCGCGGTACGAGTATGCGCAGCCTCCTCTGTACCGTCAAGAGAGCGTGAGCGATCCGTCGCCACAGATGGCGTATCCACCACCGCAGATGGCTTACCCGCCGCCACAGATGGCTTATCGGCCGTCGCAGCAGTATTATCCGCCGCCTCAGGAGCACGGGTATGGCGGTGGTCAAGCCCGCAATAACCGGAGAAGGCTAGACAAGAGGTATTCCAGGATCGCGGATAGTTTCAATTCCCTGGAAGAGGTAAGATTTTGGATTGAAATCGTTGCCCTGTGATTGGTAATTGTGTTCATGCTGGTGTGTGAAATTCTCATGGTGTGGCTGTCTCTGCAATACTTCATTTCATTGAAGATGGATAATTTTTTGTCCTTAGAAGTGGAAATGGAGCTTACTTGTGTTGTAACTACACCAATAGAATCCTTATGTTGATCCTTTCGCATATCACATAAATTCATGTCAATCTTTACTCGCTGTATACGGCATCTTATGATAAAAAGGAGATGGAACAGCTACTTTAAACTTTTCGAGTGGTTGATAGATGAGCTTTAGGAATACAGGGCTGACAGAAAGGCTTCTTATCTCGAGACCTAAATTTGTTTGGTATATAGAGTTTTTGGGTGACAACAGTCTGTCATGTTGGTCTAGTTCTTTGGTTGCATTTTGTAAGAGTATGAGGCTTTTTCTTTTTATTGACTCTTTTTTTTCTTAATTGTGATATTTTAGGTTACTGAGGCTCTTGCACGTGCTGGTCTCGAGTCTTCCAACCTTATTGTTGGTATCGACTTTACTAAGAGCAATGAGTGGACGGGTGAGTTTTTACATTCAATGCTTGTTTCTCGGCCCATAGTGACGCTCGTTCCTTTTCAGAATGCTGAGAGTTGTTTGTAATGTAGGTGCAAAGTCATTTAACAAGCGCAGCTTGCATGACATTAGCAATGGTCTCAACCCCTATGAACAAGCGATATCCATCATAGGGAGAACCTTGGCTGCTTTTGATGATGATAACTTGATTCCGTGCTTTGGGTTTGGAGATGGTATGCAGAATGGATCTAGTACTATAATTTTCATGCAAATATTGTTATCTGAGCTCTAAGAATGACGAGTCCTGCTTTCTCATGCCAGCATCGACGCATGACCAAGATGTCTTCGGCTTCTTCCCAGATGACAGATACTGTAATGGTTTTGAAGAAGTTTTGCACCGTTACAGGGAAATAGTCCCTCATTTGAGGCTTGCAGGTAATTCGATGATTTTTGCTCATTGTGCTCTAAAGTATGTTTGTTGGAGAAAGGCCGATCTAACCATCTTTATACTGAATGTTTTTTATTCATCAATTCCTTTTTTTTTATTAGTTTTAACCTTCTTCTTTTTTCGGTTTCTCTGGTCATAGGACCTACTTCTTTTGCACCAATTATAGAGATGGCCATGACAATTGTTGAGCAAAGTGGTGGGCAGTACCATGTCTTAGTGATAATTGCTGATGGACAGGTGCATATTTCTAAACTTACTGGCTTACATACCTTTTTAGGGGTTGTGCTACTATGCCCCTGTTGAATGTTGTACATGTTTACAGTTATATCTTTTGTGTCTAATGAGCTGGTTGCTGCAGGTGACTCGGAGCGTTGACACTGAACAAGGCCAACTAAGTCCACAGGAGAGGAAGACAGTTGAAGCAATTGTTGAAGCGAGGTATATATAGAATAACTGATGAAGTCTTTACCTTTTTCTGTCCATTGTTTTTGATCTTATATTCTTGCTTTCTGCAGCAAGTTGCCTCTTTCAATCATATTAGTTGGGGTAGGAGATGGGCCCTGGGACACGATGCAGGACTTCGATGACAATATTCCTGCTCGAGCATTTGATAATTTCCAGGTATGTGGCATTGAGCATGACTGTTTTCTCTACTGTTGGTTCCTTAGAAATTTTTTGTATGAGATCGTTTCTTTAAGGAAGTTATTGACTGGAAATATCCTTTTCTTCCCCCTTCTTCCCTCCTCCTCCTCTAGTTTGTCAATTTTACCGAAATTATGATGAAGAATGTGGCGCCTCCAAGAAAGGAGATGGAATTTGCTCTTTCAGCCTTAATGGAAATTCCTTCTCAGTACAAGGCAACTCTTGAGCTTAATTTACTTGGGTAAGAAGAATACATCTAGTTGTTTATTTTGCGTGTGCTTGTTTAATCGTTTCTGGCTTGGTTGGGTAGTTACTCTTTACAAATCTGATCTTTATATTCGTTTTTTTACATGCGAGTAGCCAGAAAAGAAATGTTCCTCGGAGGGTTCCTCTCCCGCCGCCTGTATATGGTACACCATCCACTGGTTTATCGAAGCCTTCCCGTCCAACCATCTCTCAGCCAAGTGTTCCGCCTTATTACAGAGATAGCTATCTGCCAACCACTCAGCCAAGTGTTCCACCTTATTACAGAGATAGCTATCCGCCAACCTCTCAGCCAAGTGTTCCACCTTATTACGAAGATTACCATCCAACAATCTCCCAGCCAAGTGTTCCACCTTATCCCGGGGATAGCCAGCCAACTGACACAGCTCCGTCAGCTCCGAGTTCTGCTAATGAGGACCAGGTATTAGAGTTGGAAATCTCATTGTTTTTCAAAATTTTGCTATTTTTACTGTCCTATGGTGCTTACTATATGTTGAGAATATGCTGATCCACAGCCAAATTCCTAGTTGGGAAATATCACTTAAATAGCTTTGGATAACTGTACTGTTTCCTCGATGGGCTTGTCATTGATTAAGGCATTTGATGATGCCTACATTTGCCAAAAATCCCGGGTTTGTTAGTTTTTTTTGGGCATCTCATCCCTAAGACTTGCTTGCTCTGAATGGGGTGCCCGTGGTTCCTCGAGTGCCAGCCGCAGAAAGGAATGCCATCAGCTAGGGCGCTATCAGCATGTTCCCATATATGATATATCTATTCTATTGCTCGACTTTTTAGAAAGCAGAAGGAATTTGCGAAAAGAGCAAATTTTCCTTGAATTCTTTCTGTTTATCCTTTAGTTAATCTTCATTAAGTTAACTTGCGCTTGTATTGCATGCTCTAATTGGCGTTCAATTTGGAGTTCATTGTCAAGGGAAATATTGTTAGGATGCTTGCACTCACATCGATCTTCTTACATGTTTGTTTGGTTCCAAATTTTGCTGACTCATTTGATGCCATGTCGTGCAGCTTTGCCCTATTTGCTTTACCAATGTGAAAGACATGGCTTTCGGTTGCGGGCATCAGGTATATTTTTTTTGGCTTTTCTCTCTATGGTCACACATTTATGCAGACTCTCAACATGAATTTTTTTCTTTCTTGTGACAGACATGCTGTGAGTGTGGGCAAGATCTTCAGCTGTGCCCCATTTGTCGAAGCTCGATCCATACTAGGATAAAGCTCTACTAGCAATTGGGTTTTCTCCCATTCGCCGCAATTCAGTAAATTTTTCCATCGTTCACCATCCAAGTCGTAGAGGCTGCCGCGGGTTCTGTTCCTTAGACGTTGTTTGCGTATCTATGAGAAGACTCTTCTGCATCGGTCGTTTACTCGGGATTTGCTGCCCTCTGTATATAATGACCTCAACCTAATCTTATTTGTTTATTGATTTGTTTAATAAATGTTGGGTATCGATTGTTTGCCAACACAAAAAAGTCCAGATCAATTGTTGGCTGTAAATGATATATGATTTAGAGAAATAAAAGTTCTTGGGTCAGATTTCGCTGCCTGCTTATTCATTTGGTGGGTTGCTATATTATTTGTGCTGTTTCATTCAATTCAGTGGCTGAACCAACCTCATTTATTATTGCTGCAAAGGGCCCGGTTGATGATGAGGACTTGTCACCCAACTTTCTGTTTTTCCTCTTCTTTTCTTGGATCGATTCGCCAATTTCGGGTTGTGTTTGTCCGGACAGATCTATTTCTCATTTCGAAGAGGTATCGTATCCTTACAATCCGCTGGATAAAAAGCTCATCAGATCTCAACCTGGACGGTTCTGTTTCTTTGCTTGTCGATCCGATGGCGAAAAGGCTCAGAAGTACGGTGCCTCTGAACACCATGGACTCGCCCACCCGTAAATTTACATGTCAAGAGCTGTCGAGGGTGGGGAGCTAACATTGGCAGGGTAAATCATGCATTTCATATTGAAGACCTTTTTGCCTTTTGGGTCAACTTCTCTACAAGCTAACAATCTTGCCAATTAATTCGATAGAGCTGCCTGTTGTGTGGGCGGATCTTGACTGTGAAATGACTTGGAGAAGCTAACCTCCTCTCCATTCAATTTGTGGTTTTTGGAAGCCGAAGACCCTTCTTTACTCATTCACGTGCGGCGTGGAAAACAGGGCGGTTTCGGAGTTAGTCTATCTCCATTCAATTCATGTGCTTCTTTTCACCTAGGGATAATGACATAAATAGTTCTTGAACTTTGGCTCAATATGTAATTTGATCCATGAACTTTTAGTCTGTTCAATATAGTCCATGAACTTTAGTCTAATATTCAATGTAGTCCATGAACTTTTGATTTGTTTAATGTGGTCCCTAAACTTTTGGTACATGTTCAATCTGGTCCCCGAACTATATGAAAATGTACAATATAGTCCCTGAACTTGAATTAATGGAATGACTACATTGAATATTTTTATAAAGTTCGGGGACTATATTGAATATGTATCAAAAGTTCAGGGACCACATTGAACAAATTAAAAGTTCAGAGACCACATTGAACATTGGGTTAAAGTTCATGAACTACACTGAACAAATTAAAAGTTGAGGGATCAAATTGTACATTGAGTCAAAGTTTATGGACTGTTTGTGTCATTTTTCATGTCACCTACACAAAGAAAAGAGTGATAGTTGTCTTCCAACGCGGAACCTTAAAGGCTTTGCATCTTTCATACCTAATGTTTGGCTTGTGAGTCCGCCGAGTCCGGCGTTGCATTTCCCTGTCGGATTTTTGCACACCGACCTCCAAAGACGTCTTTCTTAAACGCGTTAGCCCGTGTTTTCGCATTTGTAGTTAGACGGATAGCTGTTCTTATAGGTTCATATTGCGCTTATATAAGTCTTAGATAACTAAAAATGCATTCACGTTCAAGGGGAAACATATGTTCCCGCAAATTTTTGTTCTTAAAAGTCGAAATACATTTGGTACATCACGTTTGCCTAAGTATGTGTTGGTAGTTTGTTTGTAAAACAAACAAAGAGGTGGCTTGTCCCACATCGAAAGGATGTGAGTGTGCACACGGACGAGATTTGGCACTAATCAACGATCATTTTTATTTATTTATTAAATTTCGAATTTATTATTATAAAATAACTGTTTTGTCATATCGAAACAATGTGACTGTTCGCAATAGAGTGACGGTTATTTTTTAATAATTTAATTTCGAATTTATTATATTTTGCCTAACGGTTATTATGCGCTTTTACAACCTTTGGAAGGTTGTGTCTATTCGGACGTAATTTCTTAACCTTTGGAAAGTCGTGTCTGTTCGTACATAACTTCTCCACATTCAAAAGGTTGTGTTTGTTCAACGTATAAATTTTTTTTTCAACGTTTTTGTTCATTAAGAACAACAATTTCTCATTTCTTCCAAGAGATGTACAGCCATCTTTTCTAATTGTTTCTCTTGAGAGGCTCTGGAGAAATACCGGAATTGCTATTTGATATTCTCATTGAGATTTTGTTGTATCCTGGAGGATTTTTGTCAGTAACCATTAGCAACATTGTGGGGCAAATAATTCCTTAAAGAAAGTGATATCACGCCTCAAAGTCTGACTTCATTGTTCTTCCCGATTCACGTTGATATTTTCCCAACAGTATGAACCGCCACCACGAGTCATTGCTCTAGGTAGTCTAAATTTGGTCTTCAATGACCCCCACTAGTTCCTCGACCAACTTCCCTCGAGCCCGAGTTATCGTCAAGTTACCCCTAGTTTTCGCTAAGTGGTGGTGTCGAGCTGCCATTGGCCATAGGGGTGAGCATGGTCCAGGTGGGCGTTTCCCACCCTAGAACCGAGAATTGCCCACTAAAAACCGGTTCTAAAAAATTGGAATCGGGAACCGTCTGTTGATTCCATGGACCCATCCGGGAACCGGATTGCACCGACGGTCCGGTTCCTAGGTGGGTCCATGGAATCGGTCCCACTAGCCAAGGACGGAGACGGAGATTGAGAGTCGGAGATGGTAAGGTGAGCATCGACCGAGAGGAGTGAGAGAGTGAGAGTGAGAGTGAGAGTGAGCGCGAGGCGAAAGTGAAAGAAGGTATTTCCTTGCTCAATGTGAGACCGAGCGTCGAGCGAGTTAGGTTTAGTTTAAAATTTTATGATTTTTCTCTTTTTTTTTAATTTTTTTTAAATATATATTTATTATTATATTACCGGTTCGGTCTGGGTCGGTGTGCGGGCGGTTTCATTCCTGAAACTAGGAACTGGACTAATACCCATCGGTTCCTAAAAATTGGAACCGGGAACCGGATTGGGTCCCTTATGAACCATCGGTCCCGGTCCGGTTCCGGACGGTCCCGGACGGTCCGAGTGGTTTCCGGTTCTATTGCACACCCCTAATTTGGCCGGCATCCCCGACGTCGTTCGTCGATGGCACGTCCTTCCAACAGGGCCCTAGCGACAAATCAAAGTCATCGACTAAAACAGAGCAAAATCCGACTACTGAGTATGGACCGATGGATGCAACACGTTGTCAACAAGGAAGGAGCAAACGGTATGTTGACTGGCACGCGTGATCTGATCTTGACCACGAACATGCGGACGACGGTCGAGAAGGCAGGAAGGGTTTCCGTCCATCGACCGATCGCCAAGTTGATGCTAGACCGGTCGGTGTCGGTCGCGTTGAGAAGCATTGATATCGGCTCATAAAGTCCGGCTGAAATGAAACCAACTGCAAGGATTTGAACTAGCATTTAACGCAACTCAACTGCCGCTGCGAGCTCAACCGTAATGTAATCTATCATCCATCCTCCACAAGATCCTCCTTCAAAGTGATCCACACTCTCCCATCTGGCGACATCTCATTCCCCAACCCCCATCTCCCTCTCCCTCTCCCTCTCTCTCTCTCTCTCTCACATGGCGTCCGCCGCCACATTCCGATACCAGAGACTGAAAACAGAGGGCCCTGGCGTCGACGGCGACGACGGCGACGTCGCCTTCGAGAGGCATAGGGCGATCGCGAGGTCCAAGCCGTGGTACACTAGGCTCAAGAGGGTCGCCGTCAAGAAGAGGTTCGGGCTCAGGGTCCCCGGGTTGAGGAGGCTCCTGCGGAGGCGGGCGAGGCTGGTGAGGGCGGTCAGGGTCTCGTGCGCGAAGGTGGTGAGGAGGCTGAGGGAGAGCCAGTCCCACTTCGGCGACCTCTTCGCCGGCAACTACCTGTTCCTCCAGGTGAACCCGATGCCGGTAAAGAAGCGCTTGGAGCGATCCGGCGGCGGCGGCGGCGAGCGAGGTCGTGCGTATGGCGCCGGAGGCCATGGATCGTTTCCGAAGGTCTCCGTTCAGAGCTTCGCTTATTAAGCAGAAGCCTTTTCTTGCTTCCAGTAATAATCGTCTCTGATTTGTTTATCTATCGGATCGGGTCGCTTGGTCGATTTGTTCGTGCAAAATCAGGGTCCATATCAAATGTGACCCGACCCGAAAATTCGAATATTGGATCAGTTTCCCAACGTGCAATGCCAAAGCTTTGTCGACCCTGTAGAGAAATATATTACGACCGATAGATTTGAGGTGCTTTTGATGACCACTTTCCCAAAAGCATTTCGAGCAAATCCAAGTACCGTTTGACAAATTTTTTTTGAGTTCTTTAAGGAGATGCAATTGTATATACAAGGCCTATAAGGCCTTTGACCCATGGCAGGTACATAAGCATTTTTCGGAATGTTAATGTATATTGTTTCTTCCAACTTTACCCTCGCTAAACTTTCATTTGGCGTCGGCAAGACCTCAGGCGAGGCTGGCCTGTGTCAGATCTGGACCGTCGACAACTGGCTGGCATTAGATCTGGTTTTTTCTAGATAACATTTAAGTCAAAGTTACTTTCCAACGTGTTTTTAAATTGCACTCTACCAAACGCTATTTGCATTTTGGAAAAACCATTTCACCTAATTTTTTTTTGCATTTTTCCAAAAGCCAAATGAATGGCAACCTTGTTGTCCTTATCGGTATGTAGTGGATTGGTCCTCAATAACAAGTCGATGTTCGTGATATTTAGTGCATTATTCACCTACCAACAGACATGTGGCCCTGCTGGTAAATGAATGGGGGGGCGGAGTTGGAGAGTATCGGATCCGGGGTTTGATTTCTGTTAGCATTCCACCCACATGTATATAGAAAAGAGAAGAGAGACAAAAAAAAAAAATGGAGAGGTAAATTAGATTTCTCGGTTGGGAAGCGGCTGGATAAACACGATAAAAGCCAAAAAAAAAAAGATGATGAAAATGAAGGGTTCGTATATTTCGTGGAAAATGAATGAATTGGCAAGTATTTTCCTATAAATGATTGTTCATAACGCTTGAAATAACCGGTCAATGAAAAACGTCTTTATCATTGACAACCAATTTATATCTAATCATCTTTGTGGACGAAGAAAATATTTCTCCTTCATTTCTTATTGTATCATTTTTAGGGAAATATTTTCTAAATTATTCATTTTTCGCGAAATAAATGGAGGCAAAGTTAAAAAAAAATTAGTTCCTCCTGTAATTGAAAAAGCAAAGGACTTCATTTAGATTTGGGAAAATATCACCAAAAATCCTAAACTATGCCACTTGTGACAAATTTACCCTGAACTTTTTTTTGTGACATGAAAAACTTCAAACTATGCCACTTGTGACACATTTACCACGAACTTTTTTTGTGACACGAAAACTTTAAACTATGCCACTTGTGACACATTTACCCGAACTTTTTTTGTGACACGAAAAACTTCAAACTATGCCACTTGTGACACATTTACCTCGAACTTTTTTGTGACACGAAAAACTTCAAACTATGCCACTTGTGACACATTTACACATTACTTTGGCCAATGGGCATTTTCGTCTTTTCCTTTTTCTGTTTTTTTCCTTTTTTTTTTTCTTCTTCTCCGTGGACGGGCCTGAAGCCGGCAAGGCGACCCTCGCCGCGTCGGGGTGGGGCGAGGGCTGCCCTTGCTGGCGTCAGGCGAGGCCTGCCCTCGCCGGCTTCCTCCGCTGAAGAGAAGAAAAGAATTAAAAAAGGAAAAAAACAGAAAAAGGAAAAAGAAGAAAATGTCCATGGGCCAAAGTAATGTGGGGTAAATGTGTTATAAATGACATAATTTGGGATTTTTTGTGTCACAAAAAAAGTTCAGGATAAATTTGTCACAAATGGCATAGTTTGGAATTTTCGTGTTACAAAAAAAAGTTTAAGATAAATTTGTCACAAATGACATTATTTGGGGTTTTTGGTGGTATTTTCCCTTTAGATTTTGCAACAAATAGGTGGGCTTTTGGGCCGAAATGAAAGATATCTCAAGTTTCATTTTGGGCCTGAATTTGTTGGCCCACCATTTTCATGGGCTTTTTGTATCAGCTTCGAAGTAACCGATGGCTTCGGTGTTCTTGTCTTCCCCTCTTGGCACTCGAGCCGACTCGTCGCCTCTGCTCCTCGCTCTCGCCCTCTTCTGCGAACGGCGACCGCCGCCTGAGCCAGCCAGCCGCCGCGCCATCGCCGGAAGGTGAGAGCCTCGGTCGTTTCCGCTCCTACTATCTGTCATAGGTTTCGTTGAGGGAACGAGGACGAGACGCGCGGGATCGACTTCAATGGAGGAGGAACGCTTGGATTCTACTGTCAAAAAGGAAAAGAGAAGGAAGAAGAAGAAGGAGATCGAGGCAATGGTGAGCGAAAGGGAATCGGAGGCCGGCGGTGACGAGAGGGAGGAGAGTAGGAAAAGGAGAAGGAAGAAGAAGCTTCTAGAGGAAGCTGCGGAGGGCGGTGAACAGCGAGCTATGAGCATCGATAGCGAGATTGACGGTCGTGAGAACGGAGAGGATAGTAATCAGAATGAAGGCGCCGGCCCTGCGAGAGCGAGGGATGTCGACTCCGCGAATCCTCCGGACGAATTGAAGATGGAATCGAATGGCGAGAAGCCGTTGAAGACAATTAGGAAGAAGAAGAAGAAGCAATTGGCGGAAGAGGCTGCTCGAGCCGGGAATCGCGGGGTCTGCTACTTGAGCCGGATTCCTCCTCACATGGATCATGTGAAACTTCGTCGGATTCTTTCTCAGTATGGAGAGATTCAGAGGATATATCTTGCACCTGAAGGTACATGCAATGCCCTTCCTAGATGTTTGATTTAACTTGTTCCCGCTCGAAGTTATGGATTGCCGCGTTTTGCTGGAACGAAGTTTCTTTTGGTTGTACTTGTGGTTTACAAGCGGTTCTTGGCGAAGTGTAAGGCTTCTCCTTGTTAACGTAATCGACGTGCTTGTTGTAACTAGCTATGTATACCTTACATCATAGATCCCGCGGCTCAAGTGAAGCGCAAACGAGCTGGCGGCTTTCGTGGACAAGAATTCTCGGAAGGGTATGATCCACTTTGGACTTGCAAAAGTTTCGCATTTTCTTTTATGCTCTGTATTAGTCTTACCTCAGTCAAAAGCTGACTTCTGGATACCATCGGTATTAGGTTTTTGATCTGTGGACGTATGTTGTTTCCTTGATTTAATGTGTTTTTGTTGTGCAGATGGGTTGAATTTGCCAAGAAAAGTGTTGCAAAGAGAGTTGCCGACGTGTTAAATGGTGAACAAATAGGTAACTTTTCATTCCTTTTATTGAACAATGGTGGGTGTGCTTTGCCAAAAGTGAATATTTTGAGTACTTAAACAGAGCACCTTTTGCCCCTAGTTCTTGTTAATACTCTTTCTTTTGCATTTGATTTGCCTTGTTCGTGAGCTTTGTTGAATATGTTTCTTGGTGTCTACTATTAATTATCTGTATGTTTGATTCTGTTAAGGAGGGAAGAAGAGGTCCTCATTTTATTATGATCTCTGGAATATCAAGTATTTGAGCAAATTCAAGTGGGATGATCTTACTGAAGAAATCGGTACGTAGCACGATGAGATATTTCATGCCATACTCGTTGTCTGCTGGAGCTGATTGTGTTTTGTATCGTGATGTTTGTAATGCAGCTTATAAGAATGCTATTCGGGAGCAAAAGCTGGCTTTAGAACTTTCCGCTGCCAAGAGGGAGCGGGATTTCTATCTTTCTAAGGTCGATAAGTCCCGAGCCTTAAGTTCCATAGAAGAACGGCTCAAGAAGGTAAAGGGTCCTTCTCCGTACTCCTTGTAGATGTTTCATAATAGTACTTGCAAGACCTTAGCAATTTCTAGTTTGGCACTAGTGACTAGTCAGCAACACCAGGCTGAGCAGAGACCTCATCATGACTCTTGAGAATGCATTTTGAAGGTCTAATGGCGGACACTGGTACTGATTCTTGAGAGATGGCTAGAATACGCAAAGCATCTTTTAACATCCTTGAAAAATTGGGAATCTAAAAAACCTGTACTGTTTTCTTGTGTGAATACTTTAATTATCTTCCTAGACTACGGGAAGTACCCTCTAACATCTTTTTGGAGTATCTTTTGTTGTGTAGACATGTTCATCAGTGTCGTTTGGGCGTGTCATGTGTGAAAGACTTGCTCATATCATCCATAGAGGATGTGGTAGCAGAAATAACTCTTCTTAATCTTGTGCAAGTATGAAATTTGTAACTCTTCCGGAAAGATGTAATTATCTTTTTACCTTTTCAACGATATATTTCATGTCAATCACTTCAGTTATGGTGGTAACCCTGTGTCGTCGTTTTGCTTTACAGAAGCAAGAGTTACAAGAAGGTTCAGCGAAAAGTCCTGAGCAACCGATCAGCCATCCGGTGGTGAAGGTGATTCGCCAGTTCCCACAAAAGCAACCGGTTGCTGAAAATGCAGCCCAAAACAAACCTCGTCTCTCTAAAGATATTCTGGCTGGGGTAAGTTTCCTTTGTCGAGACACTATTAGATATATATCTTTGCACCGTTGTCTGAAGCACGACTTCTTGTCTGCAGGTGTTCGGCGCTTCTTAGTCGCACTGTTCTCAGGTGTCTAATTTGGCCGTAAAAAGCCAAGCCTGATAACAACACATTTTTCTGGCATATGTGCTCAACAGCATATTTTGACTATGTAAAATACTTATATGGGAACATGCCTCAATTTTGTTTGGCTACAATTTTGCTGGTATATCAGTCACTCGGTTCATTCAATTATACGCTAGTAGCGGTTCCCGTCTTTACTGAACTTGTTGGCCTAAAATTCCTTTGGCTCCTTATATTTTAAGATCAATTGATTCTGTTGTGTATCTGCCACCTTCATTGATTTGTAATGCCTGAGATGTGGTGGAAGTATAAATGACACGATTCATCTTGTTTTAAACTCTGTACGACGGAGGATAGGTCGTACCAAGGTTTTTCTTTCTATTTTTTGTTGGAAGGAAAATTTTTATTTCACATGAAAGAGAGGTACATGACTTTAAGACAAAAATGCAAATCCCAAAAAGCAAGTAAATTTAAAAAATGAATAAACTTGGTGCCGCATGTAGAGGCTTGCTCATTCTACAAGAATGGATCTGTCATCACATCAAAAGCACAATCGGCAACCAATTACCGAATCTCATATTATCATTGGTGATGAGCATGCGTCGGAATTTTCCTCTAGATTTCACTCTAGTAGATACAGCTATGCCAAAAGACAATGCTCGCTTAGGTTCGGTGTCTCTAGCACCATTACTGCATAGAGATAACAACACCAACAGGACGAAAGAGCATAAAAAACGCCTTGTATATCCCAAATCTATATCTAGATCGAGATAGAAGAGTAGTGAAATCTAAATCTAGCTCTAGATCGGGAGAGAAGAGATGCAAAAAGCATCAAAATCTAAATCAAGATCTAGGGAGAGAGGAGATGCAAAAAGCATCAAAATCTAAATCAAGCTCTAGATCGGGAGAGAAAAGATGTAAAAAAGATACTAATTGATCACAAAATCACTTTTAGATAAGCCTACTTTTGAATGCAGTGGTAGAAGAGCCTCGGAGACTTGCAAAACGCTCGACTATTTGGAGCAAGCACCCGAAACTAAAGCGAATGAGCAGATCCAAAGAGAGCAGAATCTTCCAAGGCGCTTGTGTTTCGATTTTCAGAATCTTCCAAGGCACTTGTATTTCGATTTTCAGGGCTCATAGGGACAAATTTCCCCACTTTCGTGAAGGATGTCAACCGTGTTGTCCACGAAATCAAGAAGAAGTCTTGAAAATGAAGAGATAGAGAAACCAAAAGGGAAAGGAAGATGGATAGAGAAAGAGAGAGAGTTCTCTCCTTTGAGGATGTAGCTTCAAAAAAGAGGGCTGGGCGACGGCTTCAACAGAGAAAAAACCCTGCTGAAAAAAAAAAACAGGGAGAGGGAACAATCGGAACGTACCGCGTTAAAGAACATGACACTGAGCAATTTTGCCTCAGTGATGACCCGCATCGTATTCCATGAATATGTGAATGAAAAATCACGAAATTTCTCATTTCTAGTGGGTCAATGACTCCGTGGAATATATAAACTAGTTATGAACAGAGTTCGAGAGTAAAGCTGCTTCCACCTTGTATAGTACAGGGAAAATTGAACGTATAAAAACTAACCTTGCATGCAAAGAGTATGCCGTTTGTTATTAACATTAGTTACCTTCCCTCCCAGTGTCCTACTACAAACTTAAATCTATACGAGTGATTGTGCAAGCATAAAAGGTCATCTCACTTGACTGCGCGAGGTTATGCTGATCTGTAGTATAAGTGAAGACGCGCACGCAAGTAGTGCCATGTTTCTATTGCTATTCACAAGATTCAAGATGAAATTCATCTTGATTCACCTTGTTCACCCGCAGATTGAGTGGGCATGCCCAATCGAGAAAACAGTCATTTGAACTTCATACTTTTGAGAAGGTACTCCAACGATGACCAAATTGGTTAAAAATCATGCAAGCTCCTAAAGCACAGAGACGAATCATTCATGACATGGAGCAAGTCAAAGTGATCAAGAGATTTACTGGGTCTACAAATATGATAGCTATCGAGGAACGCCTGTGAGCAGATCTGTACATTTCACTTTATCTAAAGCAGCATCAGAACATATAGAAAATTTCAGGGCGAAGATCAGAATTGACAGATCGCAGAAGATCACCAACACCAATGCTGCACTGTCCTCAATCAGCTGCAACATCCACCCCGCTGAGCTACGGTTCCACTTGCACCGGCTTGACCTTGAGGGCGTCCATATCCTACCTTGATTCCAGAAGTCTGCAAGTGCAATTTGAAACAACAAAATGTTTTAAGATAATCGCTTTTGAAACAATTGCCCACGTTTAAATCTGACATATTGAGCATACATATGGTCCGGTTGTTCAACGAAACCTACAACTCATCCACACAAATGAAATAGCCATCAACGACTCGTGCTAGCGTTGAAAATAAAAAATCAGCTAAATCAAAACCTGAAAAGTTTGAAGTGTGTGTATCTTGGCTGATAAACATAAGCTATGTCTGTGTAGTGGGGGAGAGAACGTATACCTCATTGGATACATCAAATACTCCGTCTTGTATATTCTGTAGGATCTGTGATGCAGTCTTTACAAAAGCCTGGAGGATTAAAAAGGTACAAGATCGTAAGGACCAATGTCATGCTGCTGTGGACTCACCCACGATGGGATGGAGAAGAGATGGTAGAGTGAAATCACCTCCTCAACATTTTGTGCTGTTCTTGCAGATGCCTCCAAAAATAGAAGTCCATTTTCCTTTGCAAACTGTTCTCCTTCTTCTTTGCTGACAGCCCTCCGGTGAGATAGATCAGATTTGTTTCCTATAAGCATGATTGTCATGTTAGGATTTGCATGCTGCCGAGCATCCTCCAACCAGCTTGCAAGATGATTAAATGTATCTCTCCTAAAATACAAGAGAATTCTGATCTCAGCAAAAAAATAAAAAATACAAAATGATCACGATAATAAGACAAACTGTAACACATCTCCCCAGGGAACTCTTCATAACTTTATATTCCTCCAACAAATTTCTAAAGTTTCTGACACTTGTATCTCACGATGGATGATAACATCAGATTCCAATGTAAATATTCTCTAATCATAGGTTCTATATCCTCATAATCTGTTGATCACATTTTCTCCCCTTTTAAGTTTGCAGCATAGCTTTCATTGCCGTTTAGCAACATCCATATTATGAAGATACTCAATGTCTAAGGAAGTAGCTAATTTAACCTGGACACGAGATCGTAAGGAGATCATTCTACCCATTCTCTTTCCCTCCCAGAAAAAAAAGAAACAGACAGACACTAGCATTTCGAATTTTACATACCGGGTGATGTCATAAACTAGAAGTGCTCCAGCTGCTCCTCTATAGTAAGATCTAGTGATGGATCTGAAAGATTCCTGTCCTGCCTGTAATGAAACAAAGATTTCAAATGAGTCATGAGCAATACTTAGTGTAAACATACAGACAATTGTACTGTGCATTATCTCAAATTCAAGCGTTTCTGAATTCTTTGACAAACTGCGGATGTATAAACAAAAAAACAACTAACTGGAAATGCGGAGAAAGAGGTTCCATGTAAACTACTCTATACGAGCCAAAATAGCGTAGAAGTAGGTATCACTGGCTTCTCTCTGCATCTCTCCGTCTTTGACGTGGTTAATGACACAAGTTATATCAATCAAGTTCAAAGTTTTCTCATTGACCGCGAGGAAAAGGTACATCATGTCCCAAGACTAGGACTGACCTTCACTGCCACAATTCACCACTATGACATCTGTCGTCCCGTGATTAATCTAAACATAGGCCACTAATGACGTGTTCATATTGCTAAAAACAAGCTCAATTTTGCTTGATATTTACTTCAGTCGGCCGACGGATCCAGGGCATTAAATAACTTCACTAAAATTTTCCCAACCTCCAGGCTGATAAGTCCCTCCTTCAGTCATCCTTCAGCTTGTAAAGCAAACAGGGACGGGAGGCCGCAGTTCGACTTCCATATTTCGATTCCTAGTATTTTCCGAGAATTAAAGGACTAATTCAACAAAGCTTCTGAAGTAATGACAAGAAAAGTCCCCACATAGAGCAGAACTTACAAGTTTCACACATCCAATGCTTCTAGATACAATGAAAACACAAAAACACGAAATTCCATCACTGCCAACAAGATACTCTAACGTTACCCATTTTGGGACAAATCAGCATATCACCGAAAGCTCGTCATGCTAATGACAACTGCCTGTGAACCAACTCGATGTCCCATCCGATTAAGTACAAATATAGAAATGCAAGACACTGAGATCGAAGAGCCGCATGATATCTTATAGCCATCTTCAACTCTTAGAGGAGAGTTCCTCCAAATGGCAAAAGTCATCATCCATCGGGTCCATCTCAGAATCAGCAACAAATCGCAAGTCTCCCACTAAAGTACTACGGAGTCCCAATTCGAACTAAAAATTGCAAGAGCGCACTAGTTTCTTATGCCACGACCCCAAAACACAAACCTTTACAAACCTCAATCCAAGACCGTACCGAGCGGCACGCGGTTCAGCTCATCGAGCTCATGAAGTCTACGATGTCGAAACAAAGTCGCGAAACATTTGTTTGAGGAAAAGAAAGAAACGCAGCTCACCGTGTCCCAAATCTGCAGCTTGATCGGTCTACCATCGATGGTGACCATGCGAGCGCCGAACTCGACACCGATGGTGAGATCATGGACGGGCTGGAACCTCTTGTCCGTGAATTGAAGAAGCAGGCACGATTTGCCCACGCCTGCAAGCAAAGCACCCCCCAAACAAGAATAAAAAAAAAAGAAAAATTAGGGTTTCCGGAATCGGAGAGCCTAAAAACCAGGAGCTCCGCGGGTCCGGATGGGGGGGGCTCACCCGTGTCGCCGATGATGATGTACTTGAAGAGGTAGTCGTACGACATGACTGGGACGTCGTCGTCGTCGCCGCCGCCGAGCGGGGGTGGCGGAGGGCGGCGGAGGGGGGGCAGCGGGGCTGCTGGAACGGCGGGATCGGAGAGGGAGAGGGAGAGAGAGAGAGAGAGAGAGAGGGGGGTGAAACAGCGGAATCGGATGTGGATGAGGGGGATTTGAAAAGAGGAGGAAGATGAGGGAGGAAAGTAAACGGAAGCGACGTAGGGGAGTCACCGGCGCACGCTTCTTAAGGCATCTTTGCTTCCAAGCTTCCACATACGCATCGTATCTTTCCTTCTTTAATCACAAAACATTGTAATTAAACCCCCCCAATCTTAATCGCGGGGCTAATCCGGATAGCGACGTTTGATTAAAGGGACAACCCGACACGACACCTGGTATTAGACACTTTCGACATTTAATTTTAGTCCTATGTTGCCTTTACATTGAGCTTTTTCTTGATATAGCAGCGTGATTTGGGCTCGAAATAGTCCCTAAATGCTCGTGCGATAATGAGCGAACATAAAAATGTGCACGCAAGCTTTATTAGTCTAATCCGTTCTAATGTCCAAATCAGCATTCTGGGTCAATGGTGACAGATTGAAGGTGGGCCTTTTGATTGTTTTTAAGTTTTAACCGGAGCGAACTTTGAATTCTGAATTGGGATAATGACACAAACAGTCCCTGAACTTTGACCTAATGTGCAATTTTGGTCCCTGAACTTTTAATTTGTTCAATGTAGTCCCTGAACTTTAGCTTAATGTTCAATTTGATCCTTGAACTTTTAATCTGTTCAATGTGGTCCCTGAACTTTTAGCACTTGTTCAATTTAGTCCCTGAACTATATGAAAATGTTCAATGTAGTCCTTACACTTGAATTAATAGAATGACTACATTGAACATTTTCAAATAGTTCAGGGACTAAATTGAACACATACTAAAAATTCAGGGACCACATTGAACAAATTAAAAGTTCAGGGACCAAATTGAATATCCGGCTAAAATTCATGGACTACATTGAATAAAATTAAAAGTTCAGGGACCAAATTGCATATTGGATCAAAGTTCAGGAACTGTTTGTGTCATTTTCCTTTCTGAATTAGAGAAAATGGACTACTTGGCGTTACGTTATCCGTCACTAGTAACTAACATCATCGAAGAAAATTATATTTCGAGGCTCGGACCAAACCGGTTTCAATCCAACAGATCGATCCAACATAGTTAATCGATTTAGACCGGTCGGATGTTGTCCCAGACTGAATTGGCACGGTCCATTTAACCCCTTACCATATATGCTTTGCGTAACCATGAGATCAAGGCCCTGCGATTCGTCGGCCAAAAGCGCACAATATGCGGCCAAAGAGCTGCGAATCTGCTTCCTAACTCATGCGCGGTCCAGCGGTCCTTACTGACATATCAAAAAAATTTCACATGACGGACGGACACCTGAGGAAAGTTCAAACCGTGCCTGAATGAAATCCATTAAACAGCAAGCGCTTTCGAGCAAGGCTCAACTTGAGATGTCACTAAGGTGGTGCTACACAAAACATAAGTGCGCAAAGGATGAACAAGCAAATCAGTCGCTCTAGCTTTTGAATTGAAGGCTAGCAGCTACTCGAATTTATATGCGCCCATCTCACGCCCGTTCATGAAGCATCGGAGCTGCAATAGAGCCAATGAAAAGCTCAACCCTCTCCAACCGCCAGTGATGATTACTCTTCCATCGCATCTCCTCCTTCAATGATTTCCACTTTCTCCCTCAATGGCGTGATTTTGGTCAGCAGAACCTCTGCAAGCACAGAAGGCACAAACATATAAAGTCCGAACAACCATACTGAATGGCAGTCATGTCACTTAACAGGAGAGAATTGAAATCGTGACTCAGAGCACAGGAACCTGAAATTTTGGCTTTAAATAGATCATGAGAGCAAGACAAATGATATGCTGTATTTACTGTGCTTAAAGTCATGTGGTTGCTGAACTCTGAGAAGCCCAAAAATCTGTATGGTGTCTAAATGCATTTCTCAACTGTCAGACACAGAAATGTGGCCAAGGAAAAAAAACTGCCAGACAAGAAAACTACCCTAATGCTGCGGAGATCCCCAAAACAAGTAAAACCAAGCTACTTCAGCAATATCGTATATCTACTACATAAAACTCAAGCTAGAACAAATTGTAACGACAAATCATGAAGAGACAATAAAGAGCTCAGCGTAAAGGGTACTGACCAGTCTTCTTAGGAAAAGTGTACTCCCTCTTGAGTGCGTAAACATCAGAATTCGGCAAAAGGTGGTTTCTGAGGTATTCCTTGTGACCCTGTGAACAAAATTGGAGAAACTGGACATCAACACAAGTCTCATAATAGATCTCTAATAAAACAAGTTTCTTTGCTTTTTGCACTTTTGGGTACAGGAAGAATTGCAATTGGTGAGTGACCACAGACCTTCGTTATTACACAAATATCAACATTGCTTCCACTTCCCAGGTCATTGAATATACCAGCACATATCGCCTCGGAAACAAGATTAATTCCTTCATCTTTCTGCAGGAAAATGAATATGAATGCTCCATCAATATCCTCAGTTTTCTTCCAAAGAGACAAACTATGAGCTAATCCTTCCCTTTTTCCTTTCAAAGACATATATATAACTAGACGCAGTACAAGATATGCTAAACACAACTGTAATTGATTGAATCAGCCAGAATTACAGTTAAGGTGGACAAAAGAAGGTTTGGCAAAATTAGCAACCATCCCTAATATAACAAAAAGACTTACAGTTAAGCCTTCCCTATACTTTGATTCAAATACAGACATTGCAGCCAGAGAACCAGATCCCATCGTAGCAAATGGCAAGGTGTCAGTTGATCCATGGGGATATATCTGCAGAAGAAGACATTACATCCAAATTTACAAGAAGTTAAGCTTATCAAGCCAAAAGAGGCATCGCCAGCAGTCCTTTATCTCAAACGCACCGTATGCAGATGAGGTCCTGTGATATCAACACCACCGAGTACCAAAGCAGCTTGGACATGACCCTGGTAGCTGCGTAGGACATATAGAACCAGAATCAGAAGAGAGAATTTCAGATATGTTCACCACCACTAAATCAGGAAAAAAGAGAAGCAATACCTGAAAAGATGTCGCTTAAGGAGGGTCAAAGCTGTCACAACCCTAGAATCTCGGTTCGTATGGTAGCGATGTAGCTGTAACTGCGAGCTTACCATGTCTGAGGGACGGAAGGACAGCATATAAGAAATAAACGCGTAAGCTTCACCAAAACAATAGTGAGAAATCACAGGTTTGACACTTTTTTTAGTAAGTACAGACTTGACACCGAAAATATCAGATAACTCCAAGCTAATGTTAGAGATAAGTGTAAAGTGGAAAATTGAACCTGTCACAGCCTCTGTATCGGCAGCAGTCCCAGCACCACAGCAATATATGTTTGGTGCCATGTAGTGGATTTTCTCGCAATTCTTATCACAAACTATGGGCCCTTCGGTAGCTCTAGTATCTGCTCCAAGAATAACTCCATCCTACAGAAAGAAGATTTCAAGAAGACAGAGAAATGCAAATGAGCATATTTAACTATTATCGAAAGTGATAAACCCACATCAAACATATAACCATTCACGGTCCAATACTGCTATGGCCAATACACTGTACTCTAATATGCTCTTATTTCACCCTCTAGTATTCTTGCAAAATATAATGACATCAACTCAGGATTGAAATAATGCTAATCTTTTAACGGCGAAAATGGGAATTGAGGTGTTTGTTTGGGGGCCGGGGGGGTGGGGGGGGTGGGGGGGGGGGGGGGGGGGTGGGGGGTTTGTAACCAAAGAAAAAAAAGCCATGCGATGTCTAAGACAGCCCTACCACTCCCATGAATTGACTAAGGATCGTAAGCACCAATAAGGCACAAAAAGAAAGCATCAAAATTCCATTGTTTCTTAGAATAGGTCAGGTATCACTCTAACCGGTACTTTCTCATTGGAAACTAAAAAGCAAATACTCAACAGTAGGATTCATCAACAACCTCTCAGCCGAGTGAATCCAAACAAACACTAAGTAATTAAAGTTTTATATAGAATAGACATAAGGACAAAAGTTTAAAGTGCAGTAGTGCCCATCATAATCAGTACGAATGAAACCAGCCAAGCTATGATAATTTCAAAGGTTCTCAGAAAGGCTGGAGAAATTTATTCATATAAATAAGGTTAGCCTATCTAGATACACAAGATTTTACAGGGTGTTTACCCAAGAACTGACATCACTTCTAATATTTCACTGGTCCAAGTTCACTGGTTTTTGGCCTTGGAATCACAAACACAAAGCAAATTGAAGGAGACTTGACTATCAAGGTGATATTTGGCTCGCTCATCTGAAAAACATAGTTGAACTTTACACATTCCCTTAATTACCACTTTAATTAGTGGTAGCTAGAAAATAATAGCTCACTGCGCTGATAAACAAATCTAATGTAAAGCAATACCTGAAAAATTATTCCAACAATGGTTGTTCCTGTTTTCCGATATGACGGAGCCCTAGCACCCTTCTTTGATAGCATATCATTTCTTCTGCACAGATCGAAACTAAATCCACCTTTTGGAGGGAGATCTATTGTTGCTTTAGACATTTTGGATTTAAGTAGACCTACAAAAAGACAGCCAAGAAATGTTAGGTCCACCCACAGAAATCACTTAACCAATGAGAGAAACATAGTTAAAAGAGGGTAAAACAAGCCATCTTCAAGTTCCCACAAAATTCATCTCGATATAGTCCAATGTACAACATGGTAGTAAAAAATACAACTCGTAACTGCTCTAATGAGAGACATGCATGATCTAGCAAAGACCCCACGACAAGAAGCCTGTTTCAGAAGCAACCAACCCCGGAGGGCGATAACAAGGGCAGAATTCAGCTGACTATAGATAATTAGATCTTTAAGAGGTGTGATATGCCACCACCGATGCCGCCAACAGCAACAAAAAGCTCCCATCCTCAGAACCTGGTCCAAGCCAAACAGATTCTCACGGCACCGTTACTGTCACCCCACAAACATTCTTCCACCTCGTAGCAAATGATCATACAGACGCTAACAACAAAGTAGCTACCGGAAACACGAAGCTCGATTGATCGAGCTACTTAATCGAGCAAGTTACCTATCTCACTATCCTCCTCCCTCCAGCCTCACGTCAAAAGGAAGCAACAAATTTTGCCTAATCTCGCCATGCGACCTCTGACCGCAACCTCACAGGAACGATTCAGGGACAACGACAGAATCTAACGAAAGAAGAACAAAAGCCAAAGGCTCCTACGAGTCGACGACAAAACACAACTGAAGTGCGGTCGAAGCCAACAAAGCAGCGAAGAGAAACCTGCGCACGAAGCGGACACCGAAGGATCGATCCACTGACAATGCAGAGACGACAGGCAAGAGAGAGAATGTGACCCTGCTCGTTCGTTTTGCTCCACACAGGCTTTGCCTCTTCTCGTTAGTTTTTTCTCTTCGTCACTCTCGCCGGCTTCCTCGTCAAGAAAGAAAAAAAAAAAGATGGCAGAGGACTCTCTCTCTCTCTCGGTCTCGGCTTAGTGACGCGTGAACTGGGCCGGTAATGGCGCCTGAAGGGCTGGGCCTGATCACTGGGCGGGTCCTGAATGAACCGGGCCCTAACGTGGGCCCATTGTAGCTCCCGAGCTGCAACATATTACTTTACGCAGAAATATCCAGGTCGGGCCCGGACTATGGTTGAGCCGGTCGGCTTTCTCATGCCAGTCCAGCTCCTATTCATCTTCCGGACCTGCGCAGTAGACCTGTCAGAATGGGTCATAAACTCATTCCTTAATTCATATATGATAGGCTAAGTTGTCGTATGAATTAGTTATATTCAGTAAATGGGTTGTAAATGAGTTTAAACATAATATGTGTATTAAATGGATTATAAATGAGTCGAATATAGGTTTACAACTTACTTAGACCCAATCTACCTTTGCCACTCTCTCTTTATTCTCTCTCGCATTCACTTGATTTTGCGCTCATTCACTCTACACTCTCATCTCGGTTTGGGTATAAGTTTTTCTAGCTGGTTCAATATGGAAGTGTTTTAGCAATATGATTGAGTCGGGTATAAATTGGGCATGGGTCATTAGATTTGTATTGCATAGAAATTGGTCAAAATGGGTATATTTAGGCCGAATCATGTTTGGCCCAACCCAAACGTGACTCGACTCACCCATTTGATGGGTCTACTGAGCAGGACAAGTAGGCTGCTCATCCGTTGATTATCTCTATTGAAAAGTACCTCCATTAATCTCATCAAATGACTCTAGTCTTCCAACCTATAACGAGCCATCATAAGAGCGGCACTGAGGATATAGTCTTCGTCGGTAGTCACGCACATGAACAATCTTCTTCAAGTGACACTTAAAGTTGTGTCTCGATCTATTTGACTAATCCCTTTTGAGTTAGATGGACCCTCGTTGCGTATGAAATGTATGACCTTAAATAATACTCTTATTTTTTGTGTGCAAGTATTTAAGCCTATTGGTTTGACTAATTTTTATAGGTGCACGTGAAACAGACCACCACATTCACATGATTCACGTGCATTGGACAGGATTTCACTTATAGATGTGTCGAGCAATAGCCCTCGAGATTACTTTGTGCGCGAGACGACATGATTTGACAAAATTTGTCACATTCACATCAACTTCAAGCGCTCGGTTGCTCAACCAATTTTGTTGGAGTTAATATTGCCATGAAATGAAACTCAACGATTGGACTCAAAGTGTGTTTTGCACAAATTTGACCTCCAACATAATTTTGAAGTAAGCATCGCTCACGACTCCCAACACCGCGAGAGTGACATTCGTTGAAAATATTAGATGGTTTATAAATCAGGCAAACCAAACCCATTTCAATCATTAACCATGCCTAAGTTCTACCTTTTAAAAACTCTCCCTCTCCCTTTTTGAGTTTCAGCCCTTCTTCGCTTCTTCAACTTCTGGAGGGGCTCCCCTCCCTCTTTGGTTGCTCTTCTTTCTATTTCTCTTGTTTCTTGCTCTACTCTTTCGATTTAGATTTAGATTAGAGAGTTTTGCTCTCTCGATCTTAGATCTGAGAGTTTTTTTCTTCCGATCTAGATCTAGATCTAAGAGTTTTAATGTATAAGTAATCAGCCTTAAGTTTCAATAATGTTTACAGCGGCCTTTGTGTCAGATTTGTGCTCGTTTAACATATTTTTATTAGAAGTTCTAGTGTCTCGCACTTGCTCACAGGTGTCATATTTAAGTTTGTTTAACGTGCTTTTGTTGTCTTCGTATGGTGACAGTCTTGAGACGTCGAATGTAAGCACACACCACTGAAAGCAAAAGCCAAAACTACATATGGAGATTTCGGTTTATACGCATCACTGATAGTGATGTGTGATTTGCTTATCGGTTGCCGATCCTTTTTCTTGGATATATTCACATATCTTTTCTTGAAGAACGAGCGTGTGCTTACTTTTGCCGACCATGCTATGATAATATACCTTGATTTCTGGATTTTGGTTTGTTTTGCAACTGTAGGAGCTTGCTTTTTTGTGGTGATTTCTGAGATTTTCTATGAATCCATTCATCTGTCATTTTAGTGAAGAATGAAATTTTCTTTTGACCAAAAAAAAAAATTTAACCATGTAAATTTCATGAAACAAGTAACGTAATTAATGGTCGAAATTATATTGATCTGCGTGCTTTATGAACCATACATTAATATCTCTATTCGGTGTAAGTAATATCACCATTTTCATGATTACACTAGAAAGTAATTCCTCCATCAATCATAGAAAAGATCCATCTGACATATCTCAAGAACAATATTAGGCTTTTAATTCCGCATGGGGTAGCTAAGATCTTGAGCGGGTTTGCTTTTCCTACCCTCAACAACACTCTCATTTATGTCTCGACCAATTCCCTATCGTCGATACATGCAAATGCGATAGGCACCAACCGCTTACATCATCACATGTTAAGTTAGACTCGAACTTCTTCAATCTGAACTTTCTCCATTATTGTCTTCCTATAGTTCTAACAAAGACAAAAGTTCACTTACCATGAAAAGGATTCCTAGATGATGCACCATCTTATCTGTCGGATACGTCTTAATGATGAACCCTAGCATGATTCACGGCTGCCATACTCAATGCGACGTGCAGAACCAGATAATGATGCGCACGAATTTCATTTCGAATCCCATTTTTCTTTTTTTGCAGGGCCTTCTTTTATCCCTTTCTGCAATAAACATAGATAGCAAAGGAGCTAAAGAGTAAAAAAAGAGAGACCAAAAAATGGGACAATCAATGGCAGTGTCCGGTCTCACTTTGGGTCGGCACGTGAATTGCATCTTAAAGGCAGTGGTCCAATGTCACCTTTGCATAATCTAATTGATAATCAAGGTAACTGTCGTTTTACATCTGTGCAAATTGCATTCATCGTCCTCCACTCGCGACTATTTTTTGTCCCTCAAAAGATGATAATGGCAATTTATCATTATTCTCACCTTACCTAAGTCCTAGGGTTTTTTCGATCATATAAGACCCAAAGTTGGAAAAAGAGGCTGCCATCTCATTATATCTTTTTCATTTACATTAAAAAAGAACGTAATCAAGGCATTTTGTTATTTATTCTCCCCCTACAAACCTGTCCTTCTAGCATATCTTCCTTTGTCTGTAAATTAGCCGTGGCGTTCTGTTGGCTCGATCTCCAGCACCAAGCCCCTCTTGAACTCCACATAAGGGTACGCAATGGGGAAGTCATCTGGTTTTGTCTTCCACCTGCTTTGCACATGAACAACAGAAGCGATCCACCAGCTTATGTAAGTAAAGGCTCTAGCCAAACTAATCGCATAGTGTTCTCGCTACAATGTCTGCAACATCTCATCGTGATTGGTCGTATCCATGTCACGTTATTGCGGTATCAACACAGATTCGTCTTTGCCTGTCTATTGTTTGAATCATTATAGAATGCGAAGATCAAAATTGCATTACACGTTATTGTTTGCTTGCATAGTGTATGGCGTGAATGAAGATTTCCATATATAAATATATTATTTTTATGGTACCTGTAGCTGAGGACGAGGTGATGAAGAAAGAAGGCAATTATGAGTCGAGCGAGTTCGGCGCCGGGACAAAGTCGAAGTCCACCTCCGAAAGGCATGACCTTCTTGTTCATTGCTTTATCCTGTCGACATACGTGAACAAGGTCTTGCATTTCATGATGATTAAGTGGAAAAATAAGAAAAACATGTTGTTTTTTTTACTTTATTTTCTGCTTTTTATATGCATTGGGTCTTATTCAAACAACCATACTAGTGAGAAAAGCTTTAGATGCTTTCAAAATAAGTGAGACAAGGCTTCTTTTTCTTCATCATTGGGGAGGTTTGATTTATTCCGTCAATACAAGTCATATCCCACTTAAATTGGGTAATTACCATGTAATCGAATTTTTTCTAACTTATTCATGTTTTTATGATTTTTATAGCCAAAGAGTATATTCGTACACACCTTCCATCTCGAAGGATCAAATTTCATGGGGTTTTCATGAAGAGTTGGATCAAGATGCGTCCCGATGAAGACGGGAAATACTTTCCAACCCGAAGGTATGGTCAATCCTGAAAGAGTGTTTTCACAAGATTAATCCAGTTTTCGAGAGAGAGAGAGGGGGGGGGGGGGGGTGTTGTTTCAACAACACCACTAGAGAACTACCTTTGAACTCAATGTCCTGAAGGGCTTTGCGATGCACAAATTTGACCACATTCCCACATCTCAAAGCTTCACATATGACCTATTTATTTTAAGCTTTGCATTAGCATGTTAGAACTTGCAGGTGTGTCCTACTGATTAAGATTTAAAAGGATATAATATGTGTGGTTATCTCGATCATACATCATTAGTGTACTCCATTTGCTTGTAATCTTCACAGTTCAAGGGCTCTTCTCTCCCCTTTTTCCGCCTTATTGCTTGGTGCTCTTCCTGCGTGCAAAAGTGCAAACAAACAAAGACAGAGAGATAAGAAAACATCAGTACCTTCTCAATTGAAACTCATTACTGACTGTACACACATATCTTCCAACACGTATACTGAAAAAACACTTTGGCTTCCTGGATGAAATTTGCCGGCGAAATTCCAGCTATCATCCTTGAGCTGTTATTGCTGATGCGTGCATGATCACGAACTCGCTATGTCTAATTGAGAGAGAGAGAGAGAGAGAGAGAGAGAGAGAGAGAGAGAGAGAGAGAGAGAGAGAGAGAGAGAGAGAGAGAGAGAGAGAGAGCTATACCTTGAGTTGGAGGAGAGAGGCGGGTTCGCGGGCGAGAAAGAAGACGATCAAGGCCATGAGGGTGGCCGTGGTTTCGTAGCCGCCAAGCAAGATGTCCAACACGATGCTCACCATCTCTTCCTCGTTCAACCCCTCGTTCCCCAGAATCACGTCCATGAAGTCTCCTTTCTTCAAACCCACCTCATTGCTTGTCCTTCTTCTCTCTTCTATGATCTCTCTCACGGTTGAGGAAAGC